CCACTTTTTCTTTTTCTTTTTTTTTGACGGTGAAAACTTTATTTAAGACAATCTTGATGAAACAGTTGTCGGTCTAGCGAGTTTCCTGGTACCAGCAGAATCCCAGGGGAATGGAATGGTCTGGGCTGTGGCTCCCGCATGGAGGGGCGGGTTCCAGGACGAGAAGAGTCTGTGTGGGGCTAAGCTCCTACCAAAAGCCCGGGATGGAGAGAGAAGAGCGGGCGCGAGCCTTGGAACCGTAGTGCCAACGGTGCAAGGAGGCACAGGGAGTGAGCGCCCTCAGTGGCTGTGGAGGCCCCCGGGGTGCGAGCCTGCTCTTGGTTCCGCTTAATTCCCTTCGTTTCTGACTGCAATCCAAGGAATGGGCACCGCATCCCTAACTTCGTTGGAAGGAAAAGGTTCTCTCGAAGCTCCCCAGTCCCTGGCGAGGTGCTGGCCAACTCCACGTAGATCACAGCGCCACACTTTGCCCTAATTAGCCCTACACAGCTGTGAACCCAAAAACAAGGCCAGGTGTGCTCTCCTCATTTAGCTCGAGGCCATTTCTCTTTTGAAAGCAGCTCTGGCTATTACATAACTGCCTTTCAAAAAAGTATACCACCAGCCTCTTCTCTGAAGCCAAGTGTCCTCATCTGTCAAGTGTGATTCTAAATCCTGCGGTCTTGGGATTTGGTGTCAAACATTGCTGGTTTAACTGTGGTCTGATACTTCAGCACTAGGCAGCAGGTGAAGGAGAAAAGTTAACCTTCTGCTTTCTGGGGTCTAGTCTGCTTCCTTCTCTGACGTGGCATTTACATCAGGTTCTAGTTTATTCTTGCTAAGGGCTTCAATCCACCATTTACTGCAACACACAGAGTTCTCTTTTTCATGACAGTGTGTATTTTTTTAAAAATCTTTAAAATACTTTACACCTTATAAAAATTAAGGTACGACTGGAGATAGACTATTTCTTCTCTATAGAGGTTTTTCTTTTTAGGTTGTTTCCTTAGGACGAAATCAAATTTCGTTATTTCAATTGTATTTTTCTTGGATTTTAAATCTCCATTTCCCCAACTTCATAAATTAGGCATCTTTCTTCTCCTAGGAATCTGTACATTGTTTTGTCCCTTTGCTAGACAGTGCTAAATGGCAATAAAAATTTGAGCTTCCATCATCCAACCACACATTCTAAACTCCCCTAGGACACTGGACTACTGGATGCCAAGCTATTAGCTGGATGAGCACTAACAGTGGCATAGTCACTATTCCAAGATTTAGAGGGAGATTCCAATTTCTTTTCCAGTTTTCCTTAGGATCACGCAAGTTATTTCCTGGAAAGGATGTTTAATGGAACATAAGGTTTAAACTGCCAGCCACTTCTGAAAAGTATTGCACAGTAAACTCTAGGCTAACAAAATGGGATATCCAGATCATCAAACTTCAAATAAATTACTTGCTATGTATATCAAGAAATACCTAATAATTTTCTGTACTTTTTCAAATCCTCTTCACTTGCATTTCCTCATACCTCTAGATGGCAAATCACACAGTCATTTTTAGTTTAAGTCGCTGGTAAATAAACAGACAAAAAAAATGTTACCCTTGGGTTTAGGTGCCGAGGAATGACCTTTTAGCACCAATAATCTCTTCATGTATAAATACTGCTGCCTTCCCTCCAATCCCTATGAAATGTCTCTGTTTGTGTTAAAGGACAGTTTCTTCCCTTGTGTTCTAAATCCCATCCTTCACACCTGCATTTTCTTCTGAAATTGTTCACATTTTATTTGAAAAATGAAAAACAGAAAAAAATAGTGTCAGGAACACATCATGCCCATCATTAAATTATCTCCATTAGGGCCAGCCGAGTGGCGCGTTGGTTAAGCGTTGGCTTGGGACACCAACTCTGAGCAGCGGGACCCCGGTTCGGATCCCACATTAGGGCCAGTGACTCTGCACCCTCTACAGCTAAGATGGTGAACAACAGCTGATCTGGAGCTGGGCTGCCGTGAGGCGATGGCGTAGGCTACAGTGAAGCTGCAGTGGGCTACCATGAGCTACAGTGAGTGGCTGGCAGCTGGTGTGAGCAGCCAGCAGCCAGGGTGAGCTGCCAAGAGCCACCGTGAGCAGCCGTCCTGTGGCCAGCGACCGATCTGCCTCAGCCAGGAAGAGCACAATGATGATGCCAACATGAGCCAGGGAGCGACGTCCTCCACAACTAGACTGAAGAACACAAGGACAGCGGCTTGTCTGTTCCCCTCCCCCAATTCCCTAATAAAATCTTAAAAAAAAAAAATTATCTCCAATAGAGTGTTGATATGCTGAGGTATCCTATCTAAAAAACTACCAAGCTCTCCCTTAACCCCATATCATCCTCCTCCTACACTCTTTCTTAGCAAAGCTTCTTGAAAGAGTTGTCTATAATTGTTATCTCTGCCTCTTCATTTTATATTATCTCAATATATTTCAATAGGACTTTTATCCCCACCATTCCAAGACTACACTTTGCAAGGTCAATACTGATACCCATGCTTCCAGATCCATAGTGAAGTCGTCTTTGCTAGTTCCCATTATACTTCACCTCTTATGTTTGGAGTCCCATCTTCTGCCACCTCCTGATTTACACTTAAGAGTCCCTAAGTGACTTCATCCAATACCACTGCCTTCTATAACCAGTAGCTCCTATGACCCTTCAGCCCTACCTTTCCCCAACCCTCTATATTCATGTTTCCAACTGCCTATGTGACATCCCCATATGGAGAACTAATAGCTCAAACTTAAATGTCAAAGTAGAATTGATATTCCCTTATTCCTCCCCTGAGCTTCCCCAATCTCAAAGCCAATCTAGTTCAAGTAAAAGATGTAGGAATCATCTTTGATCCCACTTTATTTTCCTCACCATTCCCATTAGCAAGTCCTATCAACTTTACCTCTAAAATGTCCCAAGGCAATGTACTCACCAACTCCACCTCTGCTGCCTCCTCTAATCCAGCAGTTCTCACGCTGAAACTAACTTGTGTCCTTGCTTCTACTTTTGACTCTTTTATCCATTTTGCATACAGCAGTGATCTTTTCAAAATGTAAATTAGATGTCATTCTAACTAAATGGTCTGATTGCGTGTCCCCCCGAATTCATATATATTCAAATCCTTACCCCCAAAGATGATGCTATTAGGAGGTGGGGACTTTGAGAAGTGCTTAGGTCATGAATACGGAGCCTTCATAAATGGGATTAGTGGCTACACATAAGAGGCTCCATAGAGCTCCTTTGCCCCTTCCACTACATGAGGACACAGCTAGAAGTTGGCAATTTGCAAACTGGAAAAAGAGCCTTCATCAGAACACAACCATGCTGGTGCCTTGATCTTGGGCTTTCCAGCCTCCAGAACCGTGAGGTTTCTGGTGTTTATAAGCTACCCGGTCGATAGTATTTTGTTATCGCAGCCAGAAAGGACTAAGACACACCCCCTCTCATTGTTTCCCAATGCTCTTGGATTACAAAATCCCTACATTATCTTATCTTTGCTGCCCCTTCCAGCCTCAATTTTTACCTTTTCCCCTTGATTCACTATACTCTAGCCACACTGGCCATTCCCTTCACCAAACACATCAAGCTTTTTCCTTTTTTTTTTTTTAAACTTTATTGGGGAACAGTGTGTTTTTTTCCCGGACCCATCAGCTCCAAGTCAAGTCATTGTTTTCAATCTAGTTGTGGAGGGCACAGCTCACTGGCCCATGTGGGAATCAAACCAGCAACCATGGCGTTAAGAGCCTGCACTCTAACCACCTGAGCTAACCGGCCACCCAAGCTTTTTCCTTTCTTAAGTTTTTACAGTTTCCTCCACCACAAATATTTTGCCCGAATTTTACAAAGCCAATTACGTTTATCTCAAAATGTATGCTCAGGAGAGGCCTTTCCTGACCACCCAATCTAAAGTTGCCTCTCAGTCACTGTCCCATATCACCCAATTTTAAGTCTCTGTATATAGCACTTATCTTTTTTATGTTTGTTCTATAAGTTCCGTAATACTTTGTCTATCCTGTTCCCTATCTACAATAGAATGGTTACTGGCAAATAATAGGTACTCGAGAAATACCTGTGGAAAGAATGAATGAAGGGCATCAGATACTTATTCAATAATCCAGGTCCAAACTAGGAACACAATCATTTGCAAGAGATCAGAGAATAGGCTTTTCTGGCTGCTTACTCCTTGAAAGCTCAATTTACACTTTGACTTAGGGCCTCATGCCAGTCAAATAGACAATAGGAAAGATAGCTGCATCTGGGAGAAAATGAGCCATCTCTGGGAAATTATTAGATCTGAAATCTCATCCCAAGTTTACCGCCAGCCTCTTTGGTTCCTCATAGTAACCCTGGCACTGGCAACAGATTTAGCATCTTATTTACTTAAGTGTAGAGAAAAGGGGAACCATCAAAAAAATTCATCTGTTTGGCTCACAGGTGGGCTTTTGACTTTCCTCTAAGCATTTAGCAATAAATCATTCCAATGATGTTTCTATAATTCTTAGAGGAAAAAAACATTTTTTAAAAACTATACCGGGCCGGCCAAGTGGCGCGATGGTTAAGAACTGGCTTGGGATGCCAGAGGACCCCGGTTCGGATCCACATATGAGGGCCAGTGACACTGCCCTCTACAGCTAAGATGCTGAACAACAGCTCAACCTGGAGCTGGGCTGCCGTGAGTCGCCGGCGACGGTGTAGGCTGCAGCCCCTGTGGCAGTGGGTTGCCATGGGCTACCGTATGTAGCCAGCAGCCAGCGTGAGCGGCCAGCAGCCGCAGTGAGTGGCCGTCCAGAAGCCGGCGACTGATCTGCCGCACCCGGGAAGAGCGCAATGATGGTGCCAACTTGGGCCAGTGAAGCGACGTCCGCCACAACTAGACTGAAGAACAAAATGACAGCAACTTGTCTGTTCCCTTTCCCCCAATTCCCCAGCACTGTTCCCATCCCCCGAATTCCCCAATAAAAATCTTTAAAAAAAAACAAAACTATACCAACTTCTGTGATATGGCAAAAATATTAAAATAATTTTTTCCCAAGTTTGAACTTTATTGTAAGGAGGCCTTTTAACACACTCTTTCATTCTGGAAAAATGGGATAACAAGTACTATATACAAAATATAAAACATTGATAAAAACAGTGAAAGATACGAAATTCTCCAGGGCTTTCGAGGATTCAAAGCGGCACCTTAGGAGATCTAAGAAACCAATTATATTCCCCCAGTTTTCCTTTTGGTTCAAGATTAAGAAGTGGGTTACCACCACCTGTTTTTAGAGGTAGAATATAAGCTTTCCACTAGTCACAATTTACTTCTCAGCCTGGTCTCAACAGATTCTCCATACCTCAGCCCATCTGCCTTTGGTGATAGCCAGATCTCCAGGCCCCAGGCAGCAAGGCTTCCTGCTGATCTATTTCAGATCCATGAACCGGATATCCATGATAAGAAGGAAGTTCTTAGGCAGTGGGCGGGGGGCTGGAGAGAGAACAGTAAACACCTGATGCTCCAGGTCCACACTGGTCACCACGATGAAGCCAGCCACACTGGTCTCGGAAAGGTTCTCCTCTGTGCCCTCAGCAGTGCTAACACTCAGGAGGTGGTGCACCATGTCTCGGCCAGGGGTGACAGGTACTAGCTTGAGCTGATTGTCCTCCTGGGACATGCCCAAAGGCAAACAGGAGTCTGGGATCGTGGGTGCCCCAACTTTGTAGATTTTCACATCTGAAAACTTGACATTGAAGGCATGGGGATAGAAACAGCCCCGGAATCCATAGAAATACTCACGGATACGCTCATCCCTACATTCCCGCCGGAAGTCCTTAGAGCGCTCAACCACACCCCCCGATTTAGGGAGCAGCACAGTGCGTACAAAGTGAGGCAGGTCCCGTTTCAGTTCATTGTACAGTCGTTCTTGATCCAGAACCACAACCACGTCCACCTCAAAGGCTGAGGCTGCATGCACCAGGGCCTGGTAACCAGAGCCCTTCACCCAGCCACAGGTGTTAATGACACAGCCACTTACAGAGGCCCTTCGGTTCACTTCACATCTTTGGTTGAACACATCTGCTAAACGAGATGTAATCTGCAGAAGAAAGGATCAAGGTGAGGAAAAAAACCACAAAAAAGAACAAATCCATAGCTATTTTGTCCCTCTTTAGAATAAGTGGTATTAGGTACAAGAAAAACAACATTTTTCATAGCTATGGTTTTGACCCCCACAACATGGATTTAATGTTTATGTTGCATCTTTTGTCTCCCGTTTCATGTTCTACGTGGAAATTTATGGAAATTTGATAATTAAGAATAGGTCCACAGAGGGCCAGCCGAGTGGTGCGATGGTTAAGAACTGGCTTGGGATACCAGAGGGCCCCGGTTCGGATCCCACATATGAGGGCCAGTTACACTGCCCTCCAAAAAAAAAAAAAACAACAACAAAAAAAAGAATAGGTCCACAGAAACATTTACAATCTGAGGTTGACTTATATCTGAAAGTATCTTTTCTGAAATCATGTGGCAATAATACCAGCTGAGGGAGCACAGCAATGGCCATAGACAGTTTTGTTTGTTTGTTTGTTTGTTTTTGTTTTTGTGTTTTTTTAGCTGAGCCATCCCGCCACCTGTTGGCAGCTCACGGCTGCTCAGCTCGGGCTGACTCAAACCGCTGTTGCTCAGAGCTCAAATTCTTGAGCGAGCTCTTAACCAACTGAGCCACTCAGCCGGCCCTCCATAGACAGTTTTAACTAGCAAACTTCTGCACAGCTTCCTACCTCGATAGAATCCCTTCCCTCCACCTGACCTTGGTTCTGACCTTATTATAAAGCTTGATGTTGGTGCCAGGAGTGGTGGAGCCAAAATGATACACCAGAGGGGCCTGGATAGAGAATCCCTCTTCAACATCTGCGGGCCGCTCAATGTAGAGAGCTCCCATGGTGCCAGGGATAGAAACAGAGCCCTGGCCCACATCCAGCTCCACGTAAGTGGGACGGCGGCCCAAACGCACTGCGTAGTTGAGCAGCAGACGGCACACTGTGGACTTGCCCACATCAGTGGGGCCCACTACCATCACCCGGGGGCCTCGCTCTTCTTCCTTCTCCGCCTGCCTCCTCATCTGCTCCAAGGCTGTATGAGTGTTGAGGTAAAGCAACATAGGCGTGTCCTTGGAGACATATGCCACCTCAGTGCGGCCACTCAGCTGCAGAGAACAACCATGCCAAGTGAAAACAGCCACCTTGGCACCAGCATCAAAGGTGAACTTCTTGTTTCGGGTCAGCTCTGTGCCAAAGATTTCTGCCATGCCAGTCAGCAGCTCCAGCTGAACTGACTGAGATGCCTCCACCTCAAAGCGAAGTTCTGTTTCTCGCTCTAGTTCAAATTTAGTTGTTGGCTTCTTGTCATCATTGGCCTCCTCTCCCATCTCTTCTGTGTAGCTGCTGTGCCTACAACACAAATTACATTTCAGATCGAAACAAGTTAGAGCTCCGTTCAGAATCCTCCAGTGGACGTTTCCCCTTATCTTGCTTTATTTTTCTCCTTAGCTCTCATCACCATCTGTCTCACATATTTTACTGTCTGTCTACCCTCACTAGGTTTGAGCATTGTTTGATGTTGCATCTCTAGTACCTAGAATAGGACTTTAAAACCCGTAGGCACCTCTATAAATACACCAAGGGAATAAATAACTCAGACATAATTTAAAAACTATCTATAGATTGACAGAAGCCTTGGTTACATCACCTTATCACTCCCTTCACTCTAATGGGATACTCCAGACTTGAGAAGAGATGCGGACTCCCCACCCTCTTAGTCAACAAGAAAGGGTTTCTGCAATCCCTATGCAAAGCAGAGAACACCTGGTTTGAACTCAGAAAACAGCGTTAAGGCCCCGCTCAGCAACGACAAGTAGTGTGACCCTTTTCCTCAGCTGTCAATTGGAGACACTTACACTTCCTCACACAAAAGTGTTGTTCTGGGGATTAACAGGGATTGTTGGAGGGGGGGGGGAACACTTCGTAAGTTAGAAAACGCCGAGGAATAATTAAGCATCATTTCTGACAGAGGACTGCAGCTCCAGGTCCGGCATTTGTCCCACCCTTCCCAGACACGAAATCTGCCCAGGCCCCAAGGAAGCTACGGATACCTTCCTGAACTTACTATCTCACCTGCACAGCCACGAGCCCCAACCAGTAAACCGAAAGGCACTCCCACGAGCGACCTAAACTCGCCGGGACCCACGCCGGAAACAAAGATGAATCCGCACTTGCGCAGTGGAGGAGACACGGTCGCCCGATGCCCCTTGGGATATGTAGTTGTGTTGTAACAGCCGCGGCGGTTAAGCTCGTGCAGCCGCTCGGCCTTCTGGGAGTTGGAGTCAAAGGATTACTTTGATCATGACGCCAAAAGTGGGTGGGGCTGCGGCTGTCGTTCGCAAAGTGGGCGGGACGCAGGTGGGAGTGGCGGTTACGCCCCCGCGCGGGGCGGGGACCGGCTCAGGGGCAGTGGGTCGCCTGAGCGCGGCTGATGTGGATTCTTGCCCCGTGTCCTCGCACACCTGCTGGCCAGGAAGGGGAAGGGCGGGGGACTCACTATCAAGGTCCCACGATATCCTGCTTGCCTGGACCACAAGCCAGGAAGTGGCGAAATTGGCAAACCCCTCTTGGACACGAAGAATCCTTAGAGGCATAGGGAAAGGAGGAAAACAGCCTGTCAGAGACCCACCTGGGCTGTGACCCCCTAGCTGACTCCCTACCTGGAGGGCATTAAAAAAAATTTTTTTAAATAAAAATCCGACAATTTCTTCCAGTTACTCTTTACCCAGTCATTACCCAACCACCTTTCTTCTTTTGAGTGGGGAGTTTGGTTGAGGAATCTTTGCCCTCCCTAAATCCCTGACAGTTACCCAGGTCAACAGGTTGGGCTACGTCTAGAAGCCACTTCTCCCCAGCTTGGGCTTTGGAATCTTGTATTCTTTGCTATGCCAGTTGCTCACTTTGTGACTTTGGGCGAATCATAGGCTTAAACTCTGAGACCCAATTTCTTGCCTGTAAAATGGGGATAACAGTACCCAACCTCTTAATGTCGTTTTGATGATTGAATGGGATGATACACAAAGTACTAAACACGATGTCTGTAACATAGAAAACATCTGACGACAGCTTTTAAGTTTTTATTACAATTTGAGGAAGGAGAGCTATGATATGCCATCCATTTGCTACAGTGGTTTACAATTTTCAAATCCCTTTCAGGTTATCTTTCTTCACAGTCACCCTGTAAAGTCAGTTTTATTATCTCCAATTTCAGATGAGGGGGGAGATGACAATAGGTAAGGGACTTGACCAAGCTAGGACTCAAACCCAGGATTTTGGAGTCTGAGTCCAGTAAATATAATAATAGCAAACACTTACATAGTGTTAGATGCCAGGTACTGTCCCAGGTACTGTAATGAATTTACAGGTATAAATTCATTTAATCCTCAGAAGAGTCCTGTGAAGTACATACTATCATTATCATCCCTACCTTATAGATGAGTGCTTTTTTTCTAAGAGTTAATTGTTTTTTTATTTTGTTTTGTTTTAGAAATTTTGTTGTGGAACAGTGTATTTTTTCCAGGACCCATCAGCTCCTTGTCAGGCAAGTTGTCTGCAATCTAGATGTGGAGGGTGCAGCTCCTTGGCCCATGTGGGAATCGAACCGGCAACCTTGGTGTTATGAGTCTGCGCTCTAACCACCTGAGCTAACGGTCGCTCGTAGACGAGTACTTTTTTGAGTCCAGCTCACATGGTTACTCCGGACTGAAAGCCCGGAAAGATGTTCTGCTTTGCCTTTGTCCCACTGGCCCTACCTTAGCACTCACTTTCTAAGAGTGCCATCCTCATTTCTGTTTTTCCTTTGATAGTTTGCTTTAATATTTCATGCATTCGCCATGCACGCATTAGTTTTTCAATTAACTATTAGGTATTCCCTAATCTCTCACCATTCTTCAAAAATTCAATTCCAGTCTTCCATTCCCAAATTTTCTCCCCAAGTGGGCTCATCTTCTGTTCCCATGCAGTCTATTTCCCAGATCTTTTTCTTCGCCTCCACACTCTCTCCCTTGAGGCAATTTCTTCCAACTAGCTGAAGGTCATCTTTATTTGGATATTGTATAGCCATCTCAAGCTGAATTTAGGGGGAAGAAACACACATACCCTACCCCACCCCCACCCCTGCCTTAGACTGTTCTCAATTTTGCTTCCTAAGCACAGAAGGAGTCAGGGCACATTTAAAGCACATCTGTGCTTGCCTACACACTCTTTTCTCACTTGCACCAAGCACTCCTGTCATCTCCAGTCCATCCCCAAATAACACTGTCCTCACATATCTTTTTCAATCTCCTCTCCAGCTAAACTACCTTGATTGTTTCCTTCCTGAGTTCATTTAAACTGATTCTTTTTGCTTCCAAGCTTTTAATCCTTGTCCTAAAACTACTTACCTTCCGTTTTCCCAGTTCCCACTGTTTTCCTCAACAAGGGTTCCTCATATTCCTCCTGCATTTACATTTCCTTTCTTATCTGTTGCCCAGACTGAGAACACTTCCCTCTTCTTTCTTTACCGAGTTCTCCCTTTCCATTTCAAAGTTCAGGCACTATCACCTGCATTGTGTTTCCAGACTTTACCTTTAACCCCAGCATCTTCTGATTAAATATTCAGAATTCATTTATTTGCACCCAGCTAGCAATGCCTTCCATTACATTTCCTTGCCTTACTTTTTTTTTTTTAATATTTCAAAAGGCTTTATGTAAATCTTGCCTCTGAAGATGCCATTAGTTATTGAGGATGGAAGGCAAAGAGGTTATACACAAAAAGTTCTTTTTGAGGGACTATCTTGTGCTTGATTTAAAAAAAAAGTTCAGGTTAATTTTTTGTTTGAAGTAATTGGTTAGGAAGAAATACAGGAAGTCCACAGAAAAAGATAGCAACCAGAATGATATCAGCCAGGTTTTGAATATTCCTTCATTCCGAATCCTACCTCTTTTGAAAGAAAAACAAACCACCCACAAGCAGTCCTTTCTGTAAGCCCCTATCTTTGTCACACTTCACTTCCTGAATGTTAGAAATTGGGGCTTTTCTCTTAGGATATGTTCTGTGTCCACATACTTTCGTGACACGCACAGGGCAGCACTTCATGGGAAATATTCTGAGTCAAATGAAATATAACTGGAAGCTGATAGAAAAATAGCACCGAAAGGTGTGAGTTCTTCGTAAGACACAAATTTGGCACGTGTCTCTTGAGATATCATAATTTAATAGTAAACCCTCCCTGGGTTTCAGGGTATCAAGTTGAGAACATACTTTTGAAATAGCAACAACGACTGTTTACTGATCACCTATCAGGTGTCAGGCGCTTTTTAGGTATCTACATGTCATCTCACTTTTGTTTCATGTCTCTGTGAGGTAAATATTGTTAGCTTCATGTAGCGGAAGAGGAAAACTGGGGCGCAAAGAGGATCAGCAACTTGCCCAATGGTTCCTGGTGAATATATTGGCAGAGCTGGGATTCCAACAGTTCTCTTTGAAACCAAAGCCAGACACTGGGACCACGTCTGAAGATGCACCTCAACTGCCGTTTTGGGAGCATGAGCTCTGCACTTAGGCATTGTAGTCCTGGGATGCACAGAGAAGCTGCCCCAAGGACCTGCCTCAGAAAGTTTACAGCCCAGTAGAGAACTTTATGTAATGTGGGTGTCTCCGTTCATGAAGCACAAGCAATTTGGAGATAGTTGATAAGAGGTTCCTGCATGTGAGATGTCATATTTGGTCTATTTCTCCGGGGGGGATCGGAAGGATATTAAGCTGAGGCTTTGAGGTCTGGAAGTGCCTGGTACAAGCTTGGGTGCAGTTTGCCATATGTGAAAATTAGTATGTCTTTCTTTTCTCTGCATCAGGGCTGGTGTCCATCTGAGCTAAAATGAGGAATGTATCATTCTGAATGTGTGCAGGCGCCTGACTCTGCATCCATCTCTCATCGTCACTGGCCTTGTCACCTCCTCTCCTCCAGCCCTGCCACCCGTACTCCATCCTTGCCCAGCCCTGTCCTTCCCCCAGGTTCTATCTCCTTGGCCACACTGCCTACCTCCTCAGCAATCAGCGTCTCCTCTTTCTCGTCCCCGCCCGGGGCCCGTCCCTCTGCTCCCACCCCCTGCCCCACTCCCCCAGCCCCATCCCTCCATGCCTGCCCCCTCCCTTCCTCCCGACCCGCCTCCTGTGTCTCCCAGCCCTGCTCTGACGTGGGAGGTGAGGGGGGTGGGGGGATGGATGACTCACAGTGTTATGATGCAGCTCCACAACACACAGCTACATTCACCCACAGACCGAGGTACAGACGGGAGACAACCTCTGGCCCCCCAGCAGCTGGCCAGCTTTGCAGCCCGTCTTGAGCCCCTACACCCCTCCCTGCCCCCATCCCCTTCTCTATTGAAGGAGCGGAAAGAGAAGAGAGAAGAGCAGAGAGATTGAGAGAAAGAGAGATAGACGGAGATCTCTGGAGCAGACCTCAAGGTGAGGGGGCAGCCCTTCTCCAAATGAATTTTTTTTTCCTTTTGCAAATTTCCTCCTCCTGCTGCGTGTTGCTTTTTCCCCTTTGCAAAAGCATTATTCATCCACCCTTTGTCCTCCCTTCCCCCTCCCTGCTGCCTCCGCTCCTCTCTCAGCGCCTCCATCCCTCTCCAAGCTCTGACGGTTCCCGCACTTATTTCCCGGCAACTTTGGCTGCAGCATCAGACATCACTGTTTATTGTTTTGCTGCTGGTGCGGACCCCCCAAAGCCCGCCCTGGGAGCTGGCTACGCTGCTAATGATTTTGGACCATACCATGCCGAGAATGCCAGCCCAGAGGGGGCCGAAACCTCAGAGCAGATGAGAAAATCCATTGTGAGCAGGTGGCCTCCTCCCTTATGTTCCCCTCCAGAGAGGCACGGGATTCGAACCTGGTTCCTCGCGCCTCCACCTCGGGGCCTCTGCTGTCAGGGATGGTTGCTCAGCACCCCCCAACCCAACCCTCCCTCTTCCCCGCCTCCCACAGCCCAGCCCCAGCTCACTTGGGGAACATCCTCTCCCCAGCACTCAGCTAGCTTGCCTGCTTTTTCCCCAGTCATTTGCCCAACTTGTTTTTCCCTGCGATCTGAGATGGGGAAGAAGTGACCCCTACTCCCCCTCCTGTGAGTGTTCTCTAGCCTTCTGTGCAGCCTCTCCTTGACTTGATGGGGAAGCATTAGAGACAGGGCGGGAGGCGTGATGGAGGCCGGGGAAGGAGGCAGAGCAGGGACCTGGCCGGCCCCCTCCCCGGGCCCTTGAAGAAGCTGCGCTAGGTGAAGCAGCAGAGGAGTCCTCACGGGCAAAGTTGGAGGCTGACCAGTGAAGTGGATGCTGACCAGTGTGCTGGTGAGGAGGACCCGTTTCCTGCGGCCAGAGCCCAATGTCACCCTGAACTCAGCCCAAGGTGTTTTCCTGGGGCCCAGTCGGGGGAGAGGACCTGAAACTGAAGATGGTCTAGCTGGGGGTTTTGCGGAGAGACTGCCTGACGGCCCCAGGGAAAACTGGAACAGCTGGACCACTAGCAGTCAACGCAGAGGACAGGATGACAGCCTGTTCACCCTGTCTACCTGGAACCACGTTACCTCTGTTTTGCTTCATGGCCTAGCGTTGCTGGAACACCCAGCTGGCACCTCTGAACCAGACTTGGGCTGTGCCACCCACAGCGGGGCCTGCAGGGCCCGTGAAGAAAGCAGCTCACCTGCTTATCGCAGCCCACAGAGGACACCTCCCTTCTTATCCTCTGCCTCCAGCACCCTCAACCACTTGGGGGTGGAGTTTGGACAGGTATCAACATCTTTCTCAAGATTCGTAATCAGAACCCAGCAATTATTCTGTCACCCACAGAGGCACTGCAGTTTGTCCCTGTCCCTGGGAGAAAGTGCAAAGAAACATTCTCTGCCTTGTGCCCCAAAGCACTTGAAAACTTTTGAAAATGAGAGTCCCCTTCTTGCTCCCTGTTGTGGACGTTACCCCCACACTACACCACCCTGCCCTGCTCAGCCCAGGAGAGCTGGCCTCCCTGCTGTGGTCCCCATTTCCCATGGGTCCCAGCTGTCATGTTTGCCTGAAGGACAGTTTCTGTCCTATAGCTGGCAGCCTAAGTCCTTAACTGAGGGTTAAGGCAACAGTCAAGAGCAGTAGAGAAAGACCAGGGGGACAGAGGCTGAGAAGACAGCAAGGCACTGCCTCTGGGCCAAAATGAGTGGATCAAGGGGCAAGACTGGGAAGTGGCCACGTCTGTCGTCCTTGGCACCGAAGGAGGCATCTGTGAAGTTCTACTTCGTAGAGAGCAGGCCCCCGGCCCCAGGAGAGGGCTGAAGCAGGATGTGAGCCCGCCTGCTCTCCCTGCCCCTCATCAGGCCCCCCTCCCACACAAAATCTATGAAGGACCAACTGTATGGCAAATGGAGGCCACGGAACAGAAAAACTGCCAGGCATCCCCAACTTTTAAGACTTTGAGCCCCAGAGCCCATCAGAACATGCGGGAGGCAGATCCTCACCAAAGAAATCAAGGCGAGAGCACTGCAGACATCGTCGCTCCCATGGCAGCATTGTGCTAGCAGGCTGCTCCCAGGGGAACAGGGTGGAGGCTGCTCCCGCCCCAGGAGTGAGACACACCACCTCCCCGGCTGTGGCACCAGAGGCCAGGCACCGCTGCCAGGCTTGCCAGAGCAGACAGGAATCCAGGGGCCTAGGAGGTTCAGTGCAACTGAACGCTGAGAGGGTTGATGGCCATAGGAGAGTAGGGGCAGGGGTGAGGCGAGCCCCATCGTCTCCATCCCTTCAAAAGGGGCACCTCATGAAGTCACAGCTCTTCTGACGCACCTTCCCCTCTTCCCAGGTGACTTCCATTTCTATCTGGTTCACAGCTGGGGGGGCCCTGGCCGGGCAGCCCCCCCACATTCCTCCTGCCCTGAAACACGGCTCTAGCCAACCTGCTCCGCTGTTTTACCTGCGACCGCCTGTGTGGGGGCTGCACAGCGCCAGCCCCTCCAGCCCGCCAGGGCATCGTCCTCCAGCCCGTGATGCCCAGCTGTGACCCTGGCCCGGGCCCTGCCTGCCTCCCCACCAAGACATTCCGTAGCTACCTGCCCCGCTGCCACCGCACTTACAGCTGCGTCCACTGCCGCGCACACCTGGCCAAACATGATGAGCTTATTTCTAAGGTACCGCCACTCCCCTCCTCTCCCCCACAGGCTTGTCCAAACTCACCTGGGGTAAGGCAAGGCACCTGTCCACCCTCTTCCATGCCCCCGGGGATTCAGGCAGTGGGGTGGTGGGCCACCCAGTAGTAACCGCCTGTCCTGTGTCTCCACAGTCCTTCCAAGGGAGCCATGGACGAGCCTACCTGTTTAATTCCGTGTGAGTCCACCCCTCTCCTTGTGCGTGCGTGCTTGCGTGTGTGCATAATTTCCTGAGGAGAAAGGGGGTTAGCCATCAGAAGGTGGCCTTGTACCTTTGGCTTTGCCTCCCCTCTTGCAAAGGGGCTCAGAAACTCAGTGGTTCTCGTGTGGGGCGTATGGGCGGAGCCGGACTCACCACACTGAAGAAAGCCCAGGTGTTAGTCATAAACGGGGTGGACCACTGAAGGCAGGGAGGGCTTCCAGCGGGGCAGGGTAAGCTCTCCAGTTAGAAGTTCCTTTGGGGCTGTTTGGGGGCTGGACTGACAGAGCAACCCCACCCGGTGCTGGGTCCTTCCTGTTTCTTGAAATAGGGTCAACGTGGGCTGTGGGCCAGCTGAACAGCGCCTCCTGCTCACGGGGCTCCACTCGGTAGCCGATATTTTCTGCGAAAGCTGCAAAACCACACTGGGCTGGAAATATGTAAGTAGCTGGGGGGCGGCCCTCCAAGCCCTCATGACCACGTCAGGTCTTTGCATGGTCCAGAAGGAGGAGGGGAGGTCTAGGTGGACTGGGTGGGGGGACTTTGGGGGCAGGGATAATACAGGCGATTGGAGGGCCTGGAAGGGAACTGCTTGGTCCCATATTCACCGCTTCCTCTCCACCAGGAACAGGCCTTTGAGACAAGTCAGAAGTACAAGGAGGGGAAATACATCATTGAAATGTCACACATGGTGAAGGACAACGGCTGGGACTGAGGGGCAGGCAGGCTGTGCCCTTCCTCCGCATGCCCCACCCTCCCACACCTGTCCCCTGGCCCTGCCAAGCAGTCCATACCAGCATGAGTACTGGCCCACCCCTGGGGAGGACCCAGCTCCCACCAACCCCTCCCGCCTCCACCTCATTACTCCCAGGCCTCTTTAGAACAGGGGCCTGGGGTACCCCAGGGGTGCTCAAGGCTCAGGAGTGGGCAGCAGTCAGGGGGAAACAGAACTGGGGGAAAAGGATGGTTGTGGGCCCTCCTAGCCCCAAGGTCCGGTGAATTGAGATGGCAGGGCGCGCGCTCAGGCAGAGGACCGTGGGAGGAATCAGGTTTGGCTCCACCTTTTTGAGCGAACACAGGACAAACCTGGAGTCATGGGGCTGGCTGGTAGATCCTAGGCCGCAGAATAGCAGATAAGGCTTGAGTTGGAGTGAATTTCTGGCCTCAGACACTGGGGGACACCAGTCTCCGAGGGTGAAGTATCCCACCCCATTTGCAGGAGAAAGGACTCGGTGGGGGTAGAGGGGGAAATCCCAGGCCCAGGCCCTGGGAAATAAGGGAATTGCAGGGGTTTCCATTTCACTCCACTTGTTTATCTTGGCACTAAAGAGGCACTTTCGAGTATCTAACCTTTGCCGTTGGGTGGGGTGGGGAAAGCTGCCCCTGGAACAGCCTCCGCCCCCAGCTGGCTGTTTCCGGAGCGAGCAGTCTTCATGGGCATTCCCAGAGGCCCAGCCACTGCTCCTGGGACCTGGTCCCTTGGAGGGGAGGTAGGAAATCAGTGCTACGGGGCCAGGCTTCCTCGTGGCTGCCACCAGCGAACGAAACTTTTGTATGATACATAGTGTTTGGGTCTATTTTTAATAAAAAGGGGAAAAGCAGCTGTGAGGCACTGTCCCCTGACTTTTCCTTCCTCGAGGCCGTACCTTGTAGTCACACCACACCCCCTTCCCAGGGGCCTGTTCCTTCGTGCCACTAGGGGGCAGCAATTGTTTCGACAGGGGCAGGACCCTACTGGAGCTTTTACTGGGGGCTGGGGATCCCGGGGAGGTTTCCCTTAGCAAGAGGAATGGCTTTTGTGAGCAGCATCCCAGCGGGAGCATCCAAAACCAGCGGGTCTTCCAGAGCCCTTGACAATGAATCAACTTTTGCCTGGATTCAGAAATGGGCCCCTGGAAGAGGCCCATCCCTGAAGAAGGGTGTTCTTGGATCCCATTCTCTCCACCTGGTTCTGTACTGCTTTGGTCAGTTCATTGCCGCACTTAAGGCTGAAAGGAAAACCCATCTGCTAAGGTGCTGCCCTGGCGGTTGATACGAAGTGAAACAAAACAGCTCAGAATTTGCAGCATCAATGCAACCATGTGATCCAAGTCCAATTTTTGGCAGTGACATGGAATTCCTATTGTTGTTGGGTCACCAACAACTGCAGGGAGGACTGCACACGTCATAAAAATCTTTTTTTTTGTAACTTAGCTTGTTATTTCCAGGTGCATTCATTGATATTGCAAACATCTCTAGAGCAGTTATTCCTTGCCAGGCATTGTGTTAAGCGCTGGGGTTGCAGTAGAGAAGGCAGCCATGGCCTGACTTCACGGAGCTTTTGGTCTAGTGCGAGACCAAGAACCAGGCAATTCCAGTCGGTGACAAAGGGCTCTGAACAGGGATGAGGAAACAAGCTAGGGAGCTTGCAGAAGCTTAGCCTAGATTTCAGGAGTCAAGGTAGGCTTCGCAGATGCCTACGATGACTATGATGGCTCTTTAAGGGTGAGAAGTTGGGTGGGCAAAAGGAAGGGTGAGAGGAGAGGAACTATTTCAGGCAGAAAACTGTGTGTCAAGTGGCTCAAGCTTTGTCTGATTGAGGAGGAAATAAGTTTCCTGTAGCTGGAGTATAGGCGCAAGTGGGGGAGAGATGAGATGACACAGGAAAGACAGGCATTTAGGGAATCTAGATTTCATCCCAACGGCATTGGGGAGACTGAAAAGTTCTTGTTTCTTAACGAGTGGAGTGGCATCAAATGGCTGTTTTATGCCCAGAGAAGAGACTCAAATGGAAATGTTAGCAGACTGAAGTAAGGGACATAAAGCAAAGTGTGTACCACCTCAAATACTACTGTCAGTGGAGAAGCTGTTTGGGGCAAAAGGATGCAAGAGACACAGAGGTGCAAGAAAGCAAATGCAAGCCTTTAAGGAATGATGTCCTGTCCCGCACCTGCATCTGAGAGGCCTTGGAAGGGAATGTGTCCCATTGTTCAGTTTCTGAATGCCTGGTGATGCCTAGGGATCCTCAGGCTCCAGCAAGGGACGCAGAACCCTGTCCTGCTGGGTCCCATTTCTTGGACCAAAGTTCTGGAAGGTTTTTGAAGCCCCAAGCTCTGACCTTGAAAATTGGGCACAAATTAGCTTTCTTAAGGATCCTCAAATATGCCTCTTCCAATTTAAGTTCTTGTCAAGCCAAATAGGCTCTGTGAGAAACAAAGGAGTAAATGGCAGTCATTGCTCTCAAGTTCCTTGGAACCTCTCCTGGAAGTCATTTTGTGGGCTTGACTCAGGGAACCCATTTAGTCTCTAAGATCAGCCCATGGACAATGCTGTCCAAATTGTGGATGCCCAGACAGGTATACCCTCAAGAAGTATTATCAAATACCTGTGACCAAGAGGGGTCGTGCTAGGAATTACAGGTAGAGATGAGGTCTCCTTTCTGTCCCAAGGGCCAAGGAAGAAGCCGCAGGTGTGGAATGAGACCAGGAGGGTCCGGAAACCCATGTCCTTGTCCCTGGGGAGCAGTGCTTTCAGGGTAGCTTTCTCCTTTCCCGTGTATCCCCTTTTGCTCCTGGAGGTTTACTCTGGTCCTGACAGGGAGCCTCCCAAACTTCTCCACCCACCCTCCAATCCCAGGCCAAGTCTGGGGACTCCTCCTCCTTTAGCCAGCAAGCCACCATCTTTCTCTCTAAAGACTTGAGACTTTGGAAGATACCCTCCTACAACCAGCAGATGGCATCAAAACCTTCCACCCCTCATCTCAGGCACTCTTCCATCTGAGAACCTACCCGAGCCTCTTCAGATAGGTCTACAAAAAAGATGGGTGAGCTGTCAGACTTAGGACAGGATTATATCCAGGCTCTGCAATTTTAGAGCTGCATAACTTTGGCTGTACTGCTTCAAGCTTCTGGTTCTCGATTTTTTTCATCTGTAAAATGGGGGCGTTACTTGCCAAGAAGTCATCAGTGTTCACCGTGACATAAGTGTCTGGCACATGGAACGCATGCGGAAGTGCTTCCATAAATGCGAGCTATTAGTCTGACTAGAACAGGGAGGTTTTTCACTTTCCCACCAGGGTAGCTGATTGGCGCCCAGATGGGAGAGGAAGTCTCCTACTGGAGGAGGCAGCCGGCGCTGGTAGCACCACACGGCCAATGCCCTTTTAACATTGCACTGCTAGTGGTAGGTGCAGACAGTAGCACAATGTGAAAAGAGCTCCGGCCTGCAGCAGAGGTGTGCCGGCCCTGCCTCCTCACCCCTTCTCCCAGTCCCTGGCCCACTGAGCCTCCCTCTGCCCCTTCTCATCTTCACCACAGCTTTCCACCCTTCTCCTCTGTTCTCAGGGTTAATCTCTATTTTCTCTCCACTCCTCCTTCTGCCCTCTTCCTCATGTCCTTCCCGGTACTGAGACCACCTTTTTCTTCAGGCTTTGAGGTGGGGAACTGAGTCCATGGAGGCAGCTGCATACCTTGAGTTTGACATTCCATCTTTACAGGAAGCGACTGGTAGAAATCCTAGAAGTTTGGGGGACACTCTCATGTAGCTGTGTTTATCTGGATTTGTATCTCTGCCAGCTTCCGTTCTGGGAAGGAGCTTGCTGACGAGGACCACTGAGCCCTCTACTCTTCTCTACGCTAAAGTTCTCTCTCTTTTTGAGTTGAAAGGGGAGTTCCAGGCTTCCAGGGGACAACCTCAGCTGAAGCGTCAGGACCAGAGGGTGGGGGGACTATAGTCACAGCTCCCCAGGCAGCACAGAGAAACTTCCAAGCCTGGAGGTGAAAGCTGCGGGTGATACCTCATCCCTGCATCTCTGCTCAGAGGTCTTCAAAATCCATATTCTAGACGCAGCATGAAACAAAATGGTGGGGGTGATTCCCTCTCTTGTACTGAGCAGTAGGGATAGGCTTTCACTGGCAGTGGGATTAGAATCTGAGCTTCCTGTTTTATCCAGGGCCTCCCATTAGGAAGTCGTTGAGCTCACCTGTAACTTCTCCATCCTACCCTAGTGGACGGGGCTGAAACGCTGGATTAACAATCCCGAGACTGATTAAAACCCAAAGCCCAAAGACTGCCCTGGAGGGACACCTGGATAGCCAAAGGTTCCGAGCTCTAGTGGGGGGGGCGCTCTTGGCTACAGCTGTGGCCTCGGAGGCCCAGCTCCAGTTCTGACCTGGTGAACTGTGTGCAGCCCAGAGGGGCAGAAGCATGGGGTGATTCCTCGGGCGTGTTGAATAATGAAGGCCTCCGGGTGATGGGGAGGCCTGAGAGATGCCCTCCTCCCCACTCCACAGCCAACAGGAGGGACTGAGGACAGAATTCCAGTTGGGAGCTCTTCCTCTGGGCTTCCCCTCCAACCTTCTACCACCCCCTTCAGGAAGCAGGAGAGATTTCTCCCGCCCTCCCAGGCAGAGTTTGTTCCTGTAATCTGCAAACGCGGGCCCTGTCCCACAGTTTGCACAGTTCTAATGGACGGAAACTAAGGCCCCGCTAGGGTCAGTCACCAGGCCTCTCCTCCTGGGTTGGGCAAACCAGTCCCAGCTGGGAACTAGATCATGTCAACAGAGGGCAGAGGGGCAAAGACTGGACTGCCCAGCAAGCTTCAGGGCGACTAAGGGAAGATTCTTCACCAAGGCGTGCCCAGATGTCTCCTTGGGGTGGGAGCGAGAGGGGGCTGGGGCCAAGATCCCCTCAGCTCTCACACCCAACTCATTCCAGAGCGGGATTCCCAGCGATTCACCAGCCAGCAGGGCCCCTCCCCCACCTCGGGCCCAGGAGCCATCCCCAGCTCCTTCCAGAGGCGGTGTAGAGACCGAGGAGGAAATGGGGGAGGGGAGGCCCGGCTCAAGTTCTCTCCACTCCCCCTCCTCATTGGCCACCATCTTCCGGCCCCTGCCCCCCAGAGCAGCAGGGGATGGGGCCCAGCCTGTGGAAGGGAGAGAAAGGGCAGGTGGAGGGTTAGCTGGAGCAGCGGGGCCAGCGGCTGGCCCCAACTGTCTCCTCCCACCCCCTCCCCGCAGCCATGGCGACAGGAGCAGGAGACCAGGAGGGTCCTGAAAGCCATGTTCTGTGAATGGGATGAGAAGGGCAGGGGGGAAGAGGGGGGTGAGGGGCGTTCTCTCTCAACACCCAACTGTGCCACACACACACACACACAGACACACACACACACCTCAAGGCTGGACCACACACGTGCGCACACACAACTCCCAGCCACACTAGCTGCACAACTCAACCCTTAACTACACACTTAATCCAAACAGCAAGCACTGGAGTGTGAGCACACAGCTCCCCCACATCCCCACACCCCTTAACACCCCACAACTCCTTGCTCAGGGCGGGCCACACACACACACACACACACACACAGCCCGTAGGTGCAGCGCACAACTTCTCAAGATGCAGAACTCCCTGCTTTACTCCAGCCCTTCGGCCACAGCGCTTCCCTCTGAACACACCCGCCAAGGCCCCACACCCGCACACACACCCGGGCAAGGACAGATGGCCCAGCCTTAGTAGCCCAGCTCAGCAGAGCCCCCACCCCTCCCCACCCACCACACCCCCCACTGGAAAATGACAGTGAAGCCGCCCCAGCAAGGCATGCCTAGTGCTTCCCAGTTACAGTTGTTTAAAAAGGAAAAGATAGAAGAGATGCCC